GTGTGTGTGTGTGTGTGTGTGTGTGTGTGTGTGTGTGTGTGTGTGTGCATGTTGGGGGAGGTGGATAGGAGCAAAAACTGTAAAGCCACCGGACCTGACACCGATTTCCGACCCTTTTCCTGCGGTGGGCGCCGGATGCGTATCAGCCTGACAGCTCACTCCTTCAACGACCAAGCGTCTGCCCCTCCCGCGTGCCGCGGTGGACTGCAGCAAAAAGGCAACTTTCCAGGCTGGACTGTGCATAGGAAGCGCTGACCCTTCCGCCCTCCTACCCCCAGCCACCAAATTCCCCCCCAGTCTCTGGTGCAGGGTCCCGCCTTCCCCTTCCGTCTCAGTAAGGCCCGCCCTGTGATGTCACGGTGCCCTGCGTTGATTGGCCAGCTGCGCCATCGCTCCTGAGACTTCCTTCTGGGCCGCCGCCGCCGACTTAAACTTTGAAGGGGGAAAAAAATTGAGCTACCCGCGCTGTGCGACCCTCCCTTGTCCCCGACCCGCCCCGCCTTCGGTAACGCTCCCTCCTCTGCCGCCCCCGATCTAACTTTCCTCCAACTTTCGCGACCTGTGAGAGTCTTTTCTTTCAGCCCTGGCCCTGGAAACCCCTCTCCTCATCCCTGAGCCAGTCGGGTCCCTACGATCCACTAGATCCCTAGCCAGACTCCTGTTTTCTACCCCCAAGGCAGCGCATCCTCAGGCCTGCTCTGAGTTTGGTCCTGCGGTCAAACCCACTGGATCCTGGGATTCCCCCTGCTTCGCTCTCAACCTTCTTTCTCCAGGGGCCTTGGACCGCAGTGTCTTTTGAATCCAGGGACCTTGCCCTACGCGACTTTATTTTCTGGTTTCTTGCGACTTTCCGATCTCTGGATACCCTCCCCCAAACCACTGTTTTTCTTTCTGAACTCTGCTCTCTTGACTCCCGGCCCGGCGTGTGACCCACTAGAGTCCTGTTCTCTCATTGCCCAGGACCCCGCCATCCTCGAGTCTCTCAACCTGACAGATTTCTCGCTCAAATGCCTGCGTTCTTACCACTACCCCACGAGAGCTCTCGGATCTAGGTCCCAGGTTCCTCGGTGAGCTCTGGGCGGCAGGTCCGGGTCTGGCCCCCATGGCCGCCGCCCCCTCCCATCCCGCTGGACTCCCCTGCTCTCCGGGGCCCGGGTCTCCTCCGCCCCCCGGTGGCTTGGATCTCCAGTCGCCGCCACCTCTGCTGCCTCAGATCCCGGCTCCGGGCTCGGGGGTCTCATTCCACATCCAGATCGGATTGACCCGAGAGTTCGTGCTGTTGCCGGCCGCCTCAGAGTTGGCTCACGTGAAGCAACTAGCCTGTTCTATTGTGGACCAGAAGGTGAGGCCATGGGGGCCCTGATGATAAAGGGAGGAAGCTTTAGAGGTGGCCTGAGATTGTTGGGAGGGGGAGAGGGGGGCCTAGGTGACAGACGAGGAGGGGCACTACACCCTAGTCGTGTCTTCACTCCACCACCGGTTTGAGAGAGGCCCGGATAGGGGTGGGGTGCCCCAGAGGCCTCCCCAAATTGCGTGTCACTGCTTGTTGTTTTCTGCAACGGGCAGGGAGGAAGGGAGGGGCCTGCCAGGTGTGGAGTAGGGAGGAAGGGGCAAGTGGGAGCAGCTGATCAGGAAGACCTCTTTCGACGGGCCCATCCTGGGCCTCCAGTCTTTGGAAACAGTAGAAATTGAAGCCATACTGGCCATGGTGATCGGGTGACATGTGTGGGTGTGCGTGTATGGACAAGTTGCCAGGGGCAAGCAAGGTCTCGGGGTGCAAATCCTATCCTTTTCCGGGCCTGAGATGGGGTGAGAAGAAGCAAGGCACTCCTGTGTACCTCCTTGGCACTCCCGGAAAATCCCTGCACTCCTTCTCCTCATCAATTCCCTCCTGCTGCTCTTAGAGTTGGGTATCCAGGTTCCTCCCCTGGAGTACCATGGTCAGAAGGAACCGAGGAAGGCTAGATGCCCAGATCCTAGAAAGGCTACAGTTTACAACCCAGCTGGCAGAGCACTTGCCTAGGAAGCAAAAGCCCCCTGGGGTCTATCCCCTAACATCAGGGGGTAAGGGAGGATGCTTTTTCAGTAGTCAAGTGCCTGGCGGTGAACATAGAAGTTCTGAGTACTGGGTGGTTGACTATTGAACCCTTTTCGTACTAAAGCATTCAAATATTAGAATCTTAAGTTTATCATGTGGCCACATCATCAGACCCTAGATGACACTGATAATACGACAGTTGCAGGTGGAACCCAGAATGTATCATCTTATAATGGGAGCGCATTGGGATCCCCAAACATCCAGATTTAGGTTTTTCTCAGGCTTCTGGAAATGGATCCTTTGCCTTTGGGGAAGCAGCAGGAACAGGGCCGCCTCCTGTTTTCCCCCCCCCCCCCACATCGGATAAAACTAGTTTAGAAAAAGTTCTCACAGTTCTTGTGCTTCTGTAATCCCAGCACTGGGAAGGCAGAGGCAGGAGGATCAGGAGTTTTAAGTCAGCCTGGGCTACATATCCAAACCCTGTCTCAAGGGGGGAAAAAGAATCTAGATCAAGCCACCATCAGGGGCGAG